TATATATATATATATATATATATATATTATCTCATTTAATCCTCACAAGTCCCTCAGTGAGGTATTATGACATCTCTATTAAGCAGATGAAGAAACCACAGCTTGGACTGAGAATATTGCTCAGTGGTCAAGAGCACATACTGCTCTTCCAGAGGATTCAAGTTTAATTCCCAGCAACAACATCAGGCAGCTCACAACCACTTGTAACTCCAGCTCCTGGGAGATCTGATGCCTCTGGCTTCCACAGGCACCTTCACTCATGTACACATACCACACGCTGACCCACCGGAATACATTTTTAAAAAGCCAGGTGTGGTGGTGCATGCCTTTAATCCCAGCAGAGGCACAGGCAGGTGGATCTCTGTGAGACAGAGGCCAGTATGGTCTACATAGCAAGTTCCAGGCCAGTTGGGGCTACAAGGAGACTATGTCTTTTAAAAAAATCAAGAAAATTAAAAAGAAAAAGGAAAAAAAAAGAAAAGAAAAGAAAAGAAACTACAGCTTACCAAGGCCCCATAAGGTAAATCTAGGAGGTCTGAGCCCAGATCCACTTTCTTGACCCATTCAGCTAAGCTGTCAGGTGAGGTAGATATTAGAGCCTTGCAAGGGTCTGCATATGACCATAACCCTGGAACTAGCTGAGTCAAACACTCACCCCTTCCTCAACTTCTGGATGAAGAGGTAACACTTATGGTCAATGATGACAGTTCCCTGGGAACAGGCACACAGTGCATGACCCATAGTGTCTTAGTCATTTTTCTTAAGGATAGTCTTTGGCTGCCAAAGGGCTCTTCCGGGGTGAATGGGCTCTTTCAGGCAACGGACCCAGACCCAGCAGATCATGCTGGCTCAGACCAGAGTGAAGTGCCAGGAACCAAAAGCCATCAGAAGTTGTCAGTTTAATGTTGTCAAATGTCTCAATTACTTCCTTTATAGATCACCTGTTGTAAGTTATCCCTCCCTAGTTGACCTCATGTAAAACACCTTCCTGTATTATGTCTGTTAGCAAGCTTCCCACTACTGTGGAAAAATACCCAAACAATCCATGAAAAAGGAGAAAAGGTTAATTCTGGCTCACAGTTTCAGAGTTTTTATCCCATAGTCTCTTGGCCCTGTTACTTTAGGCCTGTGTTGATGCAGTATGTCACAGCAGGCCTTTGTGGTGAAGGACACCTGCTACCCCATGGCGTTAGGGAAATAAAGAGGTGAAGCAGGAAAGCACCAGTGTCCCCTGAAGACAATATGCCCATTAGCCCAACTTCTGTCCACTCAACCGTAACGTCTATGGACTCTGTCACCTCCCAATAGTGCCTGCCAACTGTTCTTAAGTCCTCAACACATGGCCTTTGGATGGCATTCAGGATCCAAGCAACAAAAGCTACTTTTCATACCCAAGTGTTTAGATTCACCTGGTTAAGTTTTGTGTAGTGTGGACTGAGTTCTATTTTTTCCCATATCAATAATCAATTATTGGAGCTTAAGGAGATAGCTAAGTTGCAAAGTGCTTGTCTTCCAAGCATGAAGACCTGAGCTTGAGCTCCAGAATCCACATTTCTAAAAGTCGGGTGTAGTTGGTGTGTGCTTGCAATTCCAGTGATGGGAAGGCAGATATGGGCACAATCCTGGGGCTCATTGATCAGACAGCCTGTGAATTCCAGGACAGAGAGAGACCCTGTCTCAAAAACAGAAATGAGAAATGGTTGATGGCACACAAGGAATAGCATCAGAGGTTGTTCTCTGGCCTGCACACGCACAGGCATACACATCTGCACACACACAAATGCACATACATGCACACACATATGCACAAAATAATAATTATCTTTATACAATTTATTGATGGTTCATCCTCTCTCCACATGGTGTTAAAGTGACATTTTCACCAGGTATTATGTCTTTATGTGTATGGGTCTCTCGGAGGAGGTGCTCATGGACCACAGGCTCAGACCCCAACCAGTGCCAATGTGATACTATCCTAATGTACTGCTTCATGGTTAATCTTACCATTGTTCATGATAAGCCTTAGCATTGCTGAACTACTTGCTTTATTCCTGTGTAAGTCTCAGAGCTTCTCTTGGTCTTTTACCCTTCTATTTAAGCTTCATAAAAAATCTATTAAAAAATTTAGTAAGGTATTTGGATTCACTATGTTGGGAATGCTTATCAATTTCCACAGAATTCTCTCTCTCTCTCTCTCTCTCTCTCTCTCTCTCCCTCTCTCTTCTTATGTGTGTTGTTGTTTTATGATTTTCTCTATACAGGTTCTTGTCTACTTTTATTAGGCTTATTCCATAGTATCATACAGTTTTAATACTATTGCAAATGAGATTTTTATTCAGTTGTGCTTTAATATTTGGCCATTTCACTCTGTAGGATTGTTATTGTTGCTGTTTGAGACACAGCACAGGTTGGCCTTGAACTCATGATCTTTCTGTTTCAGCCTCCCAAGTGCTAAGATTTTTAGACCCAAGCCTAGGAATATTACTAATTGTAGCCGGATAGTCTGTTGAGCTTTCTCATTAGTTCTAGTGAAAATTTGTATGACTCTATGGATTTTCTCTGTAGACAGCTATTAGTCATGAAGCCTCTTGGTCTCCTGCTTCTGGTCTCGTGTGTATTTCCCCTCCTTTTCTGGTAATATCACCCTTGCTGAGACATCCACTATACTACTGGATAGAAATATACCTCTCTAGTTGCTGACTTAAATGGGGCTAGGTTTAAAGGTTTACTACCAGGAATAATGTTCATGTAGGATTTGAGGGACCCCTTCATTAAAGAAGTTAGCTTTTAGTCTCAGTTCATTATAAGTTTTTATGAATAAAGGTTGAAATGATGTTTTATTCTGTTTGTCTTTGATGATGCATTAACTGTTTTTTATAATTCTAAAATATATTTGCTTTCCTGGGTTAAGCCCCCTCAGTCATAATGTATAATTTTAAACACAGAATCACTGAATTAGAGTTGTAAGCTTTTATATGAGTTTTTTGCATCTATATTTATATTTATATTGGTTGTATTCATTTTCTAATCCTGCATAACAAATGATTCTTAAATTTTAGTGTTTTAAAAATACCCAAATTTATCGTCTCATAATCCAGGGGCAGCTTATATAGTTGTTCTGGCTCAGGGTCTCTCACATGGCTGCAGGCAAATATCAGATGGCATATCGGGCACCTGAGGTAGACTGGAATGGGACTGCAGCTTCAAGATCCTCAGATCACTGCTGGCAGGAGGTCTCAATCTTACATCATAGAGTGTCCTCACCATCTGGTCACTGGTTTCCCTAGAATAAGTGAAGCCACGGTCTTTTTTGATACCTAGTTTGGATATCATGTCTCATCATCTTTTCATATTCTGTTTTCTAGAAGCAAATCAATAAGTAGATCAAGTCCACATTGAGGGCAGAGGTACTGCTGAAGGAGAGGGCATGAAAGAACTTGCGGGCACATTTGAAAGCCACATCATTAGAGGTACTGTTTTCTTTCCTGTCCTACAATAAACTCAGAAAGGAGCTGCTTGGTATTCCTTTCCTTCTGTTGTCTACAGTATGTCTATGACTGTCACTTGCAAATTAATGTGGTCTATCAACGAAGAGTAGTTATATGAGACAGACACTATTGGTTTGTCTTATTTAATGTTATATATTTATTAAGGTTATAAGCTTAAGTGGTCATTTTTTTTAAAAAAAAGTTCCAGATTTTGAAAACTTTACTCCTGTTCTCTTAATATTTACGAATTTCCATCTACTCAGTCACTACCTTAGAGTGCCATAAAATCCTTAGAATCAGATAACATACTACTATACCTCATTAATCTGTGAACGTATTTCAACATGAAGAGCTAGGGATACTAAGACTAAGCAACTCAGTTAAAAATAGTAGAATGATAATTCCACAGCAAACTTACTCTGGTGAATCTGGAACACTGGCTCACAAAACTTTTGGTCTCAGAATCATTTTTCATGATGGGGGTGTCAGATAATTTTTTCCCTTCCTTCTTCCTTCCTTCCTTCCTTCCTTCCTTCCTTCCTTCCTTCCTCCCTTCCTCCCTCCCTCCCTCCCTCCTTTCCTCCCTCCCTCCATCCCTTCCTTCCTTGATGCATATGTGGTATCTGTGTGTGTGTGTGTGTGTGTGTGTGTGTGTGTGTGTGTGTTCTAACAGCGTTTTCAGGTGACTGTGACATTACTGTGGGATGCGACACCAGCACACAGTGGTCACTTTTTCTTTTTTTTGCTGTTTGAAATGATAATAACATATCTGTCCTTATGGATTGAGCAAGTATGAGAAAGAGCTGTTTGTAATCTGTAAAACAGTGCACTGAAAATGAGTCTTAATTTTAGAGTTTTATTGTACAGCACTAAAGGAACAGCAGGCTAGCTGCACAATTCTCTCATTCAAGTTTTGAAAATCTAAAGTACTTGCAAATTCTTAAGAATACCTTTACCACCAGATTAGGAGAGTAAGCATAACATAACCATTTTCTTAGTATATAATGTCTTACAAATAAAAACACATTTAAAATGACTTTAAATGCATTCTTTACAGGTAATTCACCATGTATTTTTGTATCATGTTCACTTATGCTTAAGAATTAAAGCAAGTATATTACTCTGATGGAAATATGGGAAGTCTCTCATTCATGCAATATAGGGATAATATTCAAGTCGACAGGGAAATAATCCCACTCTTCTCATTTTGTAAATGTGTGCATTATAGTCATCTACAGTGATAAATGAGGAAACCTATGAAGTTTCCCACAAGGCTGACATGCATTTTCAGTTCACCAGAAGCACCTGATATCTACAGCTAATTTATATTTAGACAGCATTTCAATAAAACCAAAATTGGCCCTACAAGTTCCTATAAACCAAGCTGCCAACGGGCTAAGGACAGTCAGTAATTAATGCAGTCACACAGAGTATTATAGCTGTACCTTAAGGAGTACAAGTTTGACCTGTCAACGGCAGAGGTGATCATCTTATATTAATTTGCATGTAATTCCATTTAAATTCTTTATCCAAGTATAACATATGTAAGCAGTCTTTCCACAAGCAAAAAAATGTGGAAACATTTAAAAAACAAGGAGTCATTTGTTAAAGTAACTGGTCAGATTCCATAGGCTACTCTTGGAAACAGGACTTTGCTGGATAGAATCCTTTCATTTAGTGGCTTTTTGCATGCACTTACCTGGACAGAGCCTTCTGTGCTGTTCTAAGGGCTCACCAAAACATAGATCATGCCAAATAGGTAGTTAAAAAACGCTAGAAGGTAAAAAGCTAATTTGCACCATCCTTCTTTCTGACAGTATGCTAGAGTATCTGCGTTCATGATGGTTGTCGGGTTATAGAGTCCTGGGCGGCTCATCACTGGTCTGCTCATATACCTCCAAATATGATATGCCAAAAAGGGGCCTATTGAGACCCAGTGTAAGCCACTCTGCTGCACAAGGAAACATGGCAGGGAAGAAAGCACAGATGAGGTACTCGGGAGGTACAAGAGGATTCAGGGTACTACACTGGTCCATACGATTCTTGTAATCAGTCTTCAGTAAATCAAATGCTATAATATGCCAGATGGCGAAGGAGTGTGGCGGTGAGCAGCGCCGCCGGCTTGTAGCAGAAGGCGGGACGGGAACGCCGCAGCCAGGGAGGAGCGCCCGCGGGGCCAGCGGAGAAAGGAGGCACCCAAGTGGTCACTTCTTAAGAGTTGGCAGCTATATGAAATCTTAAGGAATACTAAAGAATCTGTTCATATTCTTTACATGCACGAGGCAATGAGAATGGGAAAGGCCAATAATATTGTAGTGCCCTGAGCCAGGTGCAGGCCTTTAGTCCCAGCACTGGGGAGGCAGAGGCAGGTGGGTCTCTGTGAGTTCGAGGCCAGCCTGCTCTACACGGCAAGGTCCAGGCCAGGTATTGCTGCAGGGAGATCCTGTCTCAAAAAGACAAAAAAAAAAAAAAAAAAAAAAAAAAAGTAGTGCCCTGTAGAGAGTATTGTCCTTGACCCCTCCACAAAAAGTCTGGGTTTTCCAGGCTTCACTCTAGCCTCTAGGCTGAACTCTGAGCCAGAAGCCTCAGGGACTCATGTTCTCTAACATGGAGTAAGAAAGGAAGCCTGCTGGAGTGTTGTGTGACACACTGCACCAGAACATGTGTAATTTACCAGCCTTATGCAGAGGACGGAACTGTGTCCCGGGGGTGACAGAATCTATATGTGGTTCTGGCAGGACAGTCTCAAGAGTACCCTGTTTTCCACTGCTGAGTGAAAACAGGGAGCAAGACAAAGAAACAAGAGGAAAGGGGAACACAGGGGCTAGGCCATCTTCCGGGACAGCAGGCAATGACAGACTGATTGTATGATGACCAGACTCTCTTTTCAGAAATCCCTGTTTCTGCCTGCATTTTGCCAGTCTCTTATTGCCGTCACTATCAATAGACAAGAGAGGGGAGCACATAAAAAACAAATCAATAGGGGCTGGAGAGATGGCTCAGCGGTTAAGAGCACTGACTGCTCTTGTGGAGGACCTGGGTTCGATTCCCAGCATCCACATGGCAGCTATGAACCGTCCTTGACTCCAGTTCCAGGGAAGTCGGAAGCCCTCTTCTGACCTCCACAGCACCGCACGACACGTGCGCACTCACATACATGTAGGCAATACACTAATACACATAAAATGAAAATAATAAATAAAATATTTTAAAAAATAACAAATCAATAAAGCTGTACTTTTTTCCTTATAAGAGGAGGGATGAAGAATCAAGCACGATGATAATAACAGTTAACTTACTGAACGTGCTGTTCAATCATTGAACCTTTTTCTCCAGTGTTGCCAAGCACCTATTGTGTGGTGGCCAGCACAGAACAGCGAGGAAACCATGCACAGCATAAATGTTTTGTAGCTGTTATTCACTTACTGCTGGGGTAGACAATGTGACCTTCCATCTTACTGATAAAGAACCAAGGTAACAGGTATATACTGCAAGTCACAGAACTCATGAGGAGATGGGGGCCTCGGTGCAGTATCAGTCTGGAATGGCTTCTTTAACTACAGCACTGTTCTGCCTCCAAGGTGAGACTACCACTTGCCTTCAAATCACTCATAGTTCATTCATCCACAATTAGACTCCCCTGAAATTTAGCAGGAAGACTTGAAATCCTTTGCTGCCCTATTTCTTTTGACTCAACATTATCTCTCATATCCAAGAGCAGTTCCATCCCTCCAGCAGTTTGGCAGGACATGGATTTAAGGGTTAACTGTTCAGCACACGACTCTCACGGTGCTGACAGGTCACAGTAATAATGAAGGTGCCACAGACATGACCGAGCAACAACTGATAACACCCTCCACTCGCTAAGGCATTTGGTCTTGAGGTATTCGAAAAATTTAAGGCATTAGTTTTCCTCTTGTTTTTAAACTTAAGGGTAAAATTTTAGTGTTCAAGAGGCCCTACTGGCAGAAAGCCAGATGCTTCTTAAAATTTTTAAAAATATTTTATTTATTCTTAATTTTTTACATACATGTATGTATGTATTGATGGTTTGTGTGTGTGTGTGTGTGTGTGTGTGTGTGTGTGTGCATGTGCAAGCATGTGCCTGAGAAGAGGTCATAAGACCACCTGCAGGAGTCAGTTCTCTGCTCCCACCATTTGGGTTCTGGAGATCAAACTCAGGTCATCAGGCTGGGTGGCAGGTGCCATTACCCACTGTGTAGTTTTGCTTGTCCCTATATTATTTATACTTTGACAATTTCATACCCATATACAATGTATCTGGATTATATTACCCTAACTGCCATTTCCTCCCCATCCCATGCTTCTCAACACCATCCTCCACCTTCTTCTATTTTCATATCCCACTGAGTCCAGTTTGTGTTGCCTGCCAGAGCATGGATGTACAGCCATGTACTGGAGCATGGGCAACCATATCCTTGAAGAGAAATGACAGTTTCTCCTCAGCTGTCATCAACTGCCAATAGTTTCTTAGATAGGGGTGGGATGAGTTTCTGAAAAGCTCTATCAAGAGAAGAGTCCTGGGCTAGAAGCACATGGTGCTGGTCCAGTAACATCTGTGCTTCTGAAGGCCATGGACATATGGCTTGCCATCTCTTCACCTCAGCTCACTTCTCCTTTAAAACAAACGGTATAAGAAGACCTGCTCTGCCTGCTTCTCAGAATTATTGGTGGGTGCCACAACCAGTGATTGACCTGACAGGATCTCATTATTAGCTAAAACAACAACAGTCATGTTTTCAGATGCCTATCTCAGGAATGATATGCCACTAGCCCTTTAGGCATCCGTAGGTTTCCCTGAGTGAACCACCCATTTTCTGTCGAACAGGGAGGAACATACATATTTCATTAAATTCACAGCCACGTGAGTTTATCACAATGTAAAATGTTCTTCAAAATCAGGTAACTTAGAAAAGTAACTCATAATCTCAATGCCTGGATGCAACTCAGGGTATGGCTGGGAATTATATCACAAAAGGGTTATAAACATGGCTTTGGAGTCAGATACACTTGGGTGCTGCCTTTGGGCACATTCCTAGAGTCTACGCTCTGCCACAGGATGAGGCTATTAATACTCGCTTGAGGAGGCTGTTGGGAGGGCTGATGTGAGGGCACATGTATAGCATCCTCCCCAGAGCATGTGCTCATTAATGTTAGCCGGTACTGTTCTCTACTGGCTATTCCTGCAGATTTCTAAGACTCGTACACATAGCACAAACACGTGGTTCCGAAAAGGTTTCTGTGGCATCTCATGACCTAATCTCCTTAATTTAGCAGCATATCAACGTATTTTTTCACAAGAGAAAACTACATATGTGAATCACTATATTTAATGACTACAAGTAATGGCTTCTAAGAGTGTTTGCTATTTCATCTCCCCCATGCCTACTTTCTTACTGAACAACAAGCAATCAGTGCTTATGTTCTTTCTATAATACTTTTTCCAACTTTTAAAATGCTACAGTGGCTATCTTTGTGTTATAGATTTCCTGTATGGCTGGGGGTGCAGCTCAGTGGTAAAGCACATGCTTAGCAAAGAGGCCCTGGGCTCTGTCTCTAACACACACACACACACACACACACACACACACATATAAGATCTTCCCCATGTATTTTTCTATACCAGCTGAAGTCAAATGGTATGACCCATTATGATTTTCATCCAAAAAATACATGTGACTTTCTATGTCCAGAAATCAGAAGGTATTGCTGTATTATTTTTGACCATTTGGCCCCACTCACCAGCTGCCAGCCTGGCCTGCAAGTCTTGATCTTGCCTGTGAGCAGCCAAAGGCCAGCTAGCCACACAGTTTCATCTGAGTACCCCGACTGCTCCTCAGCTGTGGAGTACTTCACCCCCACATGGTTGCCATTTCTCCCAATCCTCATATCTCATTGCAGGCCATTACACACATTGTTTAGCCAAAATTTATTTACTGAATCATCTGACTCCTTTGAGGATCCATGGAGCAAACATTACACAAGGTCATACCTCTGTGGAAACCTCCAGGGCAGCAGCAGGTTTCTGTCCTAAGTGTCAGAGGAGAGGCACAGATCATACAGCAATTTGAAGTGCACCGTGACAGGTAACACCTGAGACAATTATCATGTTATTATGAAAATTGGTATTATTTATGTTTAGCAAAGGGAGAAATCAAAACAGAATCAAATCCAGTTGCCCTGTGGTCCTACAGCTAACTGACCCAGGCTAGAATCCATTCTTTTAGAGAGATCACTTTTACTACACTGCCTCTTCATGAAAAGAAATAAGTTGTGTTGCCAAGGGTTACTGGGCAAGTGGTTCCCTTTCATCATCATTTATAGTGAGCCGTGAGTAACTGAAGGAGCTGTGTGGTAAGGTGAGAGTAGAGGACAGAGAGGCAGTGAGAGATGGAAAATTTTGCTTTAGGTTACCTCGATTCTAGTTTTACCCTTGATGACTAAGTAAAAGCGTTATGAATTCTGTTTAGGAACCATTCTCCTGCAGAGCACCTGGACTCCTAAACTCAGTGTATGCTGTCAGATATGGAGTCGTCTGATCATCTGTCTGATGACCTTAGCCAGGCATTATTCCATCTAGGCAGGAAGGATGGGGCTCATCCTGGGAAATGCCTAGTGCTCACAGTTCTCCAAACAGCCAGCCAACCTGATGTTTCATGTTAGAAGGTAGCAAGGTTAGAGGTTATTTATTTTATTTTCCCCAAAGCTCAGAAAACTTGGCTCAAGTTTGCTCCACCCCTCAGGTTACAGTTCTGGTCTCTGGCTTTTTCACTGCACAGTCATCTGGGCTCCTTAGTGGAGGCATCAGAGCCATATTAATGTCTCTGTTAGTGGTGGGCAACCTTGTCCTTATGCTGAGGGTCCATTTTCTATGCAGGGTGAGACCTTAAAGTCGAGCGGATCTTACAGTCATTAGCATAGAAGCCCCTCCCATGCCCCTGGCAGAGAGGTGGCCTCCAGTCTCCTTGGAGCAACAGCCCAGGAGCCTCAGTGGTACCTCCTCATGTAGAGAGGCTGCCTCTGACCAGCCGCCATCTCTGCTCCGGTTCTGCCTTCCAGCCCCAAAGTTCCATGTATTGAAGGCTTGGTCCCCAGCCCACAGTATTGGGAAATGGGGCCTAATGGGAAAAAGTAGGTCACTGGAGGCATGCCCTCGAAGGGAATGCTGGGTCATTGGCCACTTCCTGTCTCTCTGCTTCCTGGCTGCCATGAGGTAAGCAGTTTCCTCATCATGATGTTCTACCTCACCACAGGCCCAAAGGCAGCAGGACAAGTGTCCATGGGCTAAAACCTTTGAAACCATGAGCCAAAGTAAACTTTTACTCCTATTAAGTTGCTCCTTTTAGATATTTTGACTGGAAGCTAAGTACTCCCTAAATTTCAGTGTTTGTAATCATTTAGTGGAAACAGTAATGTCTGCCTCACAGGGTTCCTTTCAGGGCTCAGTGAGACAGTGCATGTGCTGAGTGCAACATGGTGGCCCCACAATGGGTGCTCAGTGCACATAGCTCTTGTTAGTTTTCCTGCTCTCCCCTCTGCATGCAGCTATTCCTTAGCATCTGTACCCTGGTTCCAGGATCTGCCACGGTTACCAACGGCTGAGGATGCTCAAGTCATTCGTATAGCATGTTTGCACATAACCTATGCACATTCTTCCATATACTTTAAATAATGCCCATAATTACCTAATACAATGTAAATCCTGTGATAATAGCTGTTACACTGTTTTTCAATTTGTATTATTTTTATTGTTTTTTTCCCCAAATATCTTCAGTGGGTGGTTGTTTGAATCCAAGTTTGTGGAATCTGAGGAGATAGAAGGCCAGCTGTCTATTCTGCATTTGTCCATGTTTTCTAAGATCTTCCGGAGATTTTGAAAAGATTCTCTAGATATGTTCTAACACAAAATAAAGAAAATTATCATTTCTAATCATCAGAATACATTTACCTCCACGAGAGCCAATTAAATATATTTGTTATGTCTGCAGGCAACTATAAACCGAAACGTCAAATATCATGGCTGGGGATGACCTGCCATCACATGGCTGTGGGTCTCCCTTTGGGCTGACTGCTGCTCATGATATAAACCACTGTGGCAGGGCAATCGCACTGGTTCCAAATCACCTATAAATGCCCTCAACTGCTCCTATGTGCAAACTCAGAAGAGATTTTGACACTGTTTAACATACACAAAGTGGATTTTTAAAAATTTCACTATGTTATTAAAAGTAAATAAGATTTCTAGTGCTTTTTTCTGACTGAAGCAGATGGTCTGGAGATCAAGGGTCATTGTCCCTATAGCATTTTCCTTCAGAATTTCGTCAAATTTGTTTATGGCAGTTTGTGTGCATGTTTGTCTTGTTTATTGCTCCGTGGTTAAGAGCACTGACTACTCTTGCTGAGGACCCGGGTTCGATTCCCAGCACCTACATG